GTGTAATTTGTACCTCACCTGATGTAGCGTCTACATGCAATTTTTCTTTATCCACAAGCTTATACTTTTGGTACGTGAGATTGTAGTCTGTATGCTTCAAGGCTACACTGTAGGCTGCCTCAGTACCACCTTGAAAACTTGAACTTGTAAATTACAGATCAATTATACCCCGAATTGACACCTCAAGTCTGACAGTGAAACCAAAGAAGAAATATTGAAATAATGAACACAGTCTTTCCCACCCAACCAACTTCAGTCCTTCTCATATTGGTTCATATTATCCTGTCTTGACCTCTGTTGCATGATCTGGGAATACCTTAATGCCAAGGTTAACAGGTCTGATCGATGGTAGTGTTGGTTGCCCTTACAAGATGCCGTTAATGCCTTCAGGGACTGCCGCTGGTATTAATGCAGTGTTTTGTTGCGCTGTGTCGCTCCGAGAAACTAAGCTGTCGTAAATGTATATATTTTTTAATATATTTATTTATGTTAATATATAATTCAAGAAGAAGGAAAGTAATACTACATAAAATAGCCCAATATTAATGCTACCTGATGGACACACACATCACACCCGTTGACTGTAAGGTTAAAAACTGGTAAGATACTGTCAGAACACTTATTGTTTAGTTATAAAAACAAGTCGCGTGTTTACCTGTGGAAGATGTTACCTGTAGTGCAACTCTGAAGCTTATGTTGGTGGTCTTTTGTTTTGTGACAGTTTTCTTGCTGATAATTACGTCCTTGATCTGTGTTATTGAAATTACTCAACTCACAAAAGAAATTTAATTGTAATAGTGTAAAAAAATTAGGAAATAATATTATCCTCTTCCTCACATTGTTGCTCTCCATGTTCCTGAAACCTTTCTCTTTCTTCTCTGGTGTCGCTCCTTGGTACATAAACGCTCACAATAATCAAACTTTCGTATCTAACATCAATGTGAGTCGTAGTGTCCTCACTCTGTTTACTTTCTGTTCTCTCGTGTTACCCGCTTTTTTCTCAAGTAAAAGTTATTATAAAGTTCACGAGGTCACACTAAGCTGCGTTGTTGTTTTATTGGAGTTTTCCCGGTAAAACCAGACCTCGGCGACCCTCTGGTGTGATGGACGGGCACTACCTCTTGGTTTACCTGCCACACCTAGCTCCACCTGTCTCATTTTAGACTTGTGATTCTTCGTGAAAATAATAATGCGAGTTAATGAATGTGTGTGTGTGTGTGTGTGTGTGTGTGTGTGTGGAGGACATAAACATAGTGAACTACCATGATCATACACCAGGCAAGACGGTCACGGCTAACGTCGAAAATTCTACCGAAGCGAAGAAGAGAAAACTGGAGACTATTGGTGCTAAGTCAGTGCTTGTATCTGTGTGGTAAAAAACACTTCATTTTAGCCTGCAGACACCCAAACCCTATCCTCATGTTATATCCTGTGTGGTGTTCCCAGCAGTGAGGTAAAAACTGGCTTTCATTGGGTTAAGAACATGGCAAGTCAGTTTTTTGTTTTTGTATCTAATTTCATGTACTGTACGTCTACTTCAATATCAATGGGTGTAAATAACTCATAGCGAAAACAAGATCTAATGTGTGTGTGTGTGTGTGTGTGTGTGTGTGTGTGTGTGTGTAAGTCCATCTATGTAATAACGTATTATTATATGATTCTTTAGTCTATGATATTATTCCTTATTCAGTAATGATGCGAATATTGTAATACTATTATGAATTACCCTTTCTATAATAATTAGTCAAATTTAATTCTGACATAATAGCAGTCCTTTATTAATTAAGAATCTCACCTGGATGAATTACAAGAGTTAGCTTTATATCAAGAAAAAAGGTAAATGTATTTTTCTTCTAAATTCCATGAACTGAAACAGGATTCCCAATTGTTTACAGCGTGTTGAAAGGTCAGTTTTTAAGCTGTCTCTTTACCTTAAAAATAAATAATAATTGTAGGGTTGAACCATATTAGGGCAGTTGGGTCAGAAGGAACAAAGAGGGTAGGAGGTTGTAACTGTACTATATAAGGTCCTTGACACACCCTCACCATCTTGAAACGTTTGGAAATTTAAGTGTTGAAAACAAGTTATAAATTTTGTAACTAACAGTCATCCTTATTTCTCAGGCGACTTTTTGTACAGGGTATGGCAGGTGACTACAAGTCGTTTGTATCATTGCAAGCTTCTGACAAGTGTATAATGCGCAGCTGGCGAGGTTGTTACATCGTGGAAAGCCCATCTTGTTTTTCTTATAAGTATATCTAATAAAAACATATTGTTTACTCTAACAGTGAACAGAATATGATTAGATGCTTATGCTTTTAATATTACCTGAAGGGCATTTCTTATGGCCAAGACGGAGGTCAATGATGCAAAAGTGGTCGAGGAGTTCCTGGTGAAGGTTCCTGAAGAGGGAGCCACAGACCAGCTTGGAGTAAGTGCTGACCGTATGACCACATTCAACATTAGCATTATCTCTCGATCGTCATAGAGTTATTGTTTATTTATTAGTTCCTTGCGAATTATCGTGATAGACTGAAGATTAGCCTCGAAGTTTTCATCTGAAAAATCATTCCACTAATACCTTATTAACCCCTTGTAGGGTAAGGGTTTCTCCTAGCTGAATAAAATCGCCTGGCGTTAGCAAGAATACAATACGTAACTGCGCCGCTGCCCTACAAAAGGTTAACCAGCTTGAAATGTAACCACCTCGAGACTATCTTGAGCAGAGAGGTTAATCATCAGCTCACCCATAAAGTTTATAATTGTGAATGGTCTCGGTGTCGGTATCCACTACATCACTGGGTAAACTAGTTTATTTACCAAATAACATTATCAATAGTTTTGCTACTAAAATATATTAAAGATTATTCAATGAAACGGTGATGTCTTGGCTGCGGAAACATTAAAAAGGACCAAATTTTAATCGACTTCAGGATAGTGATAGTGAAAAGCTCCCGACAACTGTGATTGGTGGACTCCCAGGCCCTTATGACGTCATGATTATTTTTGTTTTCTTTTTCTTTTTATTAAACAATACATTCATTCAATTGGGTTTTACTGGTCTGCATGAAAGTGTCTGCGTATAATTGCTGATAAACTCTTTAATAAGCTTCTCAGAATGCACATGTATTCAGATACTGTCACACTGATAAGTAGATCCCATGAAAACAGTAATAGATAAATGGTCGCCAATACTGGTAAATTAGACGAATGCTTAAAGTTCTTGCTTAGAGTAAACAGGTTTAGCTGAAGGTGCGGTCAAGGTGTTAGGCAAGAGTTAGGATCACACCTTGAACTGTTCTCAAAAGTCCATGTAAGGACTTCAGAAAATGTTTACCTATACGAGGAATGTTGAGGTAAAGGTGATCAAGGATGAGATAAATGAGGGCAAATAAGTCAGTTGGTTATATTGTACTAAACTTGTCTTATGGTAAGACTGACTTTTATTACATCAGTACTATTAACTGAAGAAGACGGATTGTGTTTTAACTCCATTGTGTCAATAGTGTAAGTGTTGATAACTACCTTTTATACCTGCAATACCTCCCCCCCCCTCCTCTCTCTCTCTCTCTCTACCGGTATAGAAAGAGAGAAAGCAGCTTTGTGTTTTGCTGAGTAAATAAAGTTTTGCTTCGGCTACACTTTAGATGAGTAAAGCTCACTCTATGCTCAGAGCCAGAACTTTGGAGTAGGAAAACTTAGTTCAATTTCAGTTGTCTATTCCTTGATAGAGGAAGCGCGATCCTAATGCTGTCACTAGGTACCCCTGTACAATAACACCAGAAGCATCTGGCAAGTGTGACAAGTATATATAGTATAAATATTATAAAGGGCTTACTAAAGGCTAAGGAAGGAATGATATTCCTTTAACACATAATCAATGATATTTACATACTATCTGGCCAGTATGGGGATGATCATCGTGTCTCCGTCAGGGGGTCGTGGAGTGGTGGTCCAGCAGGCGTCACGGAAGTGTTGTTTGTGGGGACATCTTAGGAGGTGGTGGATAAGGGTGCGGCTGTCGGGTCTTCTGCATAATGCTAACTTAGTTCTGTAATTTATTTAACAATAATGTTGTAATGAGCCAAGGCTTTACATCAAAACAAATAATTATCAACAAAGTGTTGAAGTTTAGTGATGTGGAAGACCTTCACCACTCACTCAAGACTCACAACAATCACAGCTATACACCATTGTACTGTGTTAATAACGATGGTCACATGAGAGCACCACTTCATGAGTTAGCAGCCTCCAGGTTCAGAGACACAAATCCAAGATTACTTCTCTGTCCAAACCAAACTCCAAAACATGTATTTAGAGATAATTCGCTGAGAAAATATTAATATATACGACGAGAAACGTAAAATATACCATGGTAATTATACTACGATTAATAATTAAACGAATAATGATAACTGTAGCACTTTTATAGTAAATAAAAAGAGTTTTTGTGACATTTAAGAGGAGAGAAACACTCAATATATTCTAGTACACACACTTACAGAATTCAGCTGTTGAACCACAGTAATGTATTATAATGCCAAACCTTGTAGGAGCGGGACACTTCAACCTCAGTGGCCTGACGGAGGATTGTGTCTATTTTTTTTTTCCTATATAATTTTCGCCACTTATCAGCTTACCAGCCGTTCCGGCGGTTGGTCTATCCAGTGTTAGTACAGGCGGAAACCGGGGACCGGGAAACCTGTGATGTTTGGTAGTGAGGGTCACACTGGATAACATCCTTCTCATGTGTGTCTGGACTAAGTAGGACTCGAACCTTTAACATAACAGAGAGAGATACGCCCGTTACAGCTGTACCACCAAGGAAGGACAGAATTCCAGCACTTTGAAGAATAAAATCGATGGCAGATTACAAAGTTAATCTGCTGGGAAAACTAGTTTACTCCACATGAACAAAGTAACTGTAAGTCAAAACAGAAACCTCAGAAAAAAGTGTGTGAGTGTGTGTCCTTGCTGAAGGTGAGGGAAGGCAGGAGGCGGCACCTGTCTTATATAAGGTGGGGGGAACCTTCTGTCTTCACAGTTTGGCTCCTCTCCTCAAACACACAACTTCAACAATCATGGTAAGTATTTGAAACATACAGTATATAACAATGGTTATATATTTTTGTGATTGTTGATTTTAATGATTATTTGTATGGTCACTCAAGATGATTATAAATACTTTTCTTAATATGATATAAATGGAATTATATCTTGTTGTGTACAGCGTTTCCTGGCTGTGCTGATGGTGTTGGTGGTGGTGCTGGCCGCCGCCTGTGCTGACCCATTACCTGGATACAGTGAGTGACGTTTACACCACAACCGTATAAAGATGAATTTTCTGTCATTAACCTTGATATTTGGTAGTCACATTTTAACTAATTAACAAAACACGGATGAAATTGGTTATTATTATCATTATTATTAATTCGAGCAAAGAGATAACGATAACATTTATAAGAGAAACAATAGTAGATTACTGTGTTATTCTGTTATCATTAACACTTAGAATTCATAAGGGTATAAAACTCAGGACTTGGATAACTTTTTGAATGAGAATATTCAAATAACAGAACGAGGCTTTGGAGGTCAGCGCGGCTCCAGTGGAGGCCGAGGATTCGGCGGAAGCAGCGGTGGATTTCATGGCGGATTTGGTGGTGGCGGCTTGAGTGGATTTGGCGGCAGTTTTGGTGGACATGGCGTTGGATACGGCAGACGTAAGGCCACAAATATTGTTGTAATAATGTTTATTGACAAATTAAGTAATTATAGTTAATACTTTAGATGCTAGAAATTGTTTATTCGTCATTAATAGCACAATGTATTCCTAACTTTATAATGTTGTTAACAATATATTATTTTGTGTCATCTTCAGCATATGGTCGGTGAAGCTCACGGCATCTGTGAAGCTCACGGCATCTGTGACTGGTGGACCCCCTGGCTCTGACGATATCATTGTCACTTTTTCCAATTTCTCTTTAATAAACAAATTATTCATACAACTGTGTTTTATGTCTATTGTGTTCCTATTCAAGACACATTGTACATATGCAAGTGTTTGTCATTGATAGTTTTGTTGTTTCAACTATAAGTAGTGTGTGTAAGGAGTTATCCAGTCATATGTTTTTCTCTGTATGTGTCAAACAATGATCACGTGTTCACACGGGAATAAGCATCTCAGAATGCACACGTATTCAGATACTGTCACACTGATAAGTAGATCCCATGAAAACAGTAATAGATAAATGGTCGCCAATGCTGGTAAATTAGACGAATGCTTAAAGTTCTTGTTTAGAGTAAACAGGTTTAGCTGAAGGTGTGGTCAAGGTGTTAGGCAAGAGTTAGGATCACACCTTGATCTGTTCTTAAAAGTCCATGTAAGGACTTCAGAAAATGTTTACCTATACGAGGAATGTTGAGGTAAAGGTGATGAATGATGAGATAAATGAGGGCAAATAAGTCAGTTGGTTATATTATACTAAACTTGTCTTATGGTAAGACTGACTTTTATTACATCAGTACTATTAACTGAAGAAGACGGATTGTGTTTTAACTCCATTGTGTCAATAGTGTAAGTGTTGATAACTACCTTTTATACCTGCAATACCCCCCCTCCTCTCTCTCTCTCTCTCTACCGGTATAGAAAGAGAAAGCAGCTTTGTGTTTTGCTGAGTAAATAAAGTTTTGCTTCGGCTACACTTTAGATGAGTAAAGCTCACTCTATGCTCAGAGCCAGAACTTTGGAGTAGGAAAACTTAGTTCAATTTCAATTGTCTATTCCTTGATAGAGGAAGCGCGATCCTAATGCTGTCACTAGGTACCCCTGTACAATAACACCAGAAGCATCTGGCACGTGTGACAAGTATATATAGTATAAATATTATAAAGGGCTTACTAAAGCCTAAGGAAGGAATGATATTCCTTTAACACATAATCAATGATATTTACATAATATCTGGCCAGTATGGGGAGGATCATCGTGTCTCCGTCAGGGGGTCGTGGAGTGGTGGTCCAGCAGGCGTCACGGAAGTGTTGTGTGTGGGGACATCTTAGGAGGTAGTGGATAAGGGTGCGGCTGTCGGGTCTTCTGCATAATGCTAACTTAGTTCTGTAATTTATTTCACAATAATGTTGTAATGAGCCAAGGCTTTACATCAAAACAAATAATTATCAACAAAGTGTTGAAGTTTAGTGATGTGGAAGACCTTCACCACTCACTCAAGACTCACAACAATCACAGCTATACACCATTGTACTGTGTTAATAACGATGGTCACATGAGAGCACCACGTCATGAGTTAGCAGCCTCCAGGTTCAGAGACACAAATCCAAGATTACTTCTCTGTCCAAACCAAAAACCAAAACATGTACTTTAGAGATAATTCGCTGAGAAAATATAAATATATACGACGAGAAACGTAAAGTATATCATGGTAATTATACTACGATTAATAATTAAACGAATAATGATAACTGTAGCACTTTTTTAGTAAATAAAAAGAGTTTTTGTGACATTTAAGCGAGAGAAACACTCAATATATTCTAGTACACACACTTACAGAATTCAGCTGTTGAACCACAGTAATGTATTATAATGCCAAACCTTGTAGGAGCGGGACACTTCAACCTCAGTGGCCTGGCGGAGGATTGTGTCTATTTTTTTTCCTATATAGTTTTCGCCACTTATCAGCTTACTAGCCGTTCCGGCAGTTGGTCTATCCAGTGTTAGTACAGGCGGAAACCGGGGACCGGGAAACCTGTGATGTTTGGTAGTGAGGGTCACACTGGATAACACCCTTCTCATGTGTGTCCAGACTAAGTAGGACTCGAACCTTTAACATAATAGAGAGAGATACGCCCGTTACAGCTGTACCACCAAGGAAGGACAGAATTCCAGCACTTTGAAGAAAAAAATCGATGGAAGATTACAAAGTTAATCTGCTGGGAAAACTATTTTACTCCACATGAACAAAGTAACTGTAAGTCAAAACAGAACCTCAGAAAAAAGTGTGTGAGTGTGTGTCCTTGTTGAAGGTGAGGGAAGGCAGGAGGCGGCACCTGTCTTATATAAGGTGGGGGGAACCTTCTGTCTTCACAGTTTGGCTCCTCACCTCAAACACACAACTTCAACAATCATGGTAAGTATTTGAAACATACAGTATATAACAATGGTTATATATTTTTGTGATTGTTGATTTTAATGATTATTTGTATGGTCACTCAAGATGAATATAAATACTTTTCTTAATATGATATAAATGGAATTATATCTTGTTGTGTACAGCGTTTCCTGGCTGTGCTGATGGTGTTGGTGGTGGTGCTGGCCGCCGCCTGTGCTGACCCATTACCTGGATACAGTGAGTGACGTTTACACCACAACCTTATAAAGATGAATTTTCTGTCATTAACCTTGATATTTGGTAGTCACATTTTAACTAATTAACAAAACACGGATGAAATTGGTTATTATCATCATTATTATTAATTCGAGCAAAGAGATAACGATAACATTTATAAGAGAAACAATAGTAGACTACTGTGTTATTCTGTTATCATTAACACTTAGAATTCATAAGGGTATAAAACTCAGGACTTGGATAACTTTTTGAATGAGAATATTCAAATAACAGATCGAGGCTTTGGAGGTCAGCGCGGCTTCAGTGGAGGCCGAGGATTCAGCGGAGGCAGCAGTGGATTTCATGGCGGAATTGGTGGTGGCGGCTTCAATGGATTTGGCGGCAGTTTTGGTGGACGTGGCGTTGGATACGGCAGACGTAAGGCCTCAAATATTGTTGTAATAATGTTTATTGACAAATTAAGTAATTTTAGTTAATACTTTAGATGCTAGAAATTGTTTATTCGTCATTAATAGCACAATGTATTCCTAACTTTATAATGTTGTTAACAATATATTATTTTGTGTCATCTTCAGCATATGGTTGGTGAAGCTCACGGCATCTGTGACTGGTGGACCCCCTGGCTCTGACGATATCATTGTCACTTTTTCCAATTTCTCTTTAATAAACAAATTATTCATACAACTGTGTTTTATGTCTATTGTGTTCCTATTCAAGACACATTGTACATATGCAAGTGTTTGTCATTGATAGTTTTGTTGTTTCAACTATAAGTAGTGTGTGTAAGGAGTTATCCAGTCATATGTTTTTCTCTGTACGTGTCAAACAATGATCACGTGTTCACACGGGAATAAGCTTCTCAGAATGCACATGTATTCAGATACTGTCACACTGATAAGTAAATCCCATGAAAACAGTAATAGATAAATGGTCGCCAATGCTGGTAAATTAGACGAATGCTTAAAGTTCTTGTTTAGAGTAAACAGGTTTAGCTGAAGGTACGGTCAAGGTGTTAGGCAAGAGTTAGGATCACACCTTGAACTGTTCTCAAAAGTCCATGTAAGGACTTCAGAAAATGTTTACCTATACGAGGAATGTTAAGGTAAAGGTGATGAATGATGAGATAAATGAGGGCAAATAAGTCAGTTGGTTATATTATACTAAACTTGTCTTATGGTAAGACTGACTTTTATTACATCAGTACTATTAACTGAAGAAGACGGATTGTGTTTTAACTCCATTGTGTCAATAGTGTAAGTGTTGATAACTACCTTTTATACCTGCAATACCCCCCCTCCTCTCTCTCTCTCTCTCTACCGGTATAGAAACAGAGAAAGCAGCTTTGTGTTTTGCTGAGTAAATAAAGTTTTGCTTCGGCTACACTTTAGATGAGTAAAGCTCACTCTATGCTCAGAGCCAGAACTTTGGAGTAGGAAAACTTAGTTCAATTTCAATTGTCTATTCCTTGATAGAGGAAGCGCGATCCTAATGCTGTCACTAGGTACCCCTGTACAATAACACCAGAAGCATCTGGCAAGTGTGACAAGTATATATAGTATAAATATTATAAAGGGGCTTACTAAAGCCTAAGGAAGGAATGATATTCCTTTAACACATAATCAATGATATTTACATACTATCTGGCCAGTATGGGGAGGATCATCGTGTCTCCGTCAGGTGGTCGTGGAGTGGTGGTCCAGCAGGCGTCACGGAAGTGTTGTGTGTGGGGACATCTTAGGAGGTAGTGGATAAGGGTGCGGCTGTCGGGTCTTCTGCATAATGCTAACTTAGTTCTGTAATTTATTTCACAATAATGTTGTAATGAGCCAAGGCTTTACATCAAAACAAATAATTATCAACAAAGTGTTGAAGTTTAGTGATGTGGAAGACCTTCACCACTCACTCAAGACTCACAACAATCACAGCTATACACCATTGTACTGTGTTAATAACGATGGTCACATGAGAGCACCACGTCATGAGTTAGCAGCCTCCAGGTTCAGAGACACAAATCCAAGATTACTTCTCTGTCCAAACCAAAAACCAAAACATGTACTTAGAGATAATTCGCTGAGAAAATATAAATATATACGACGAGAAACGTAAAGTATATCATGGTAATTATACTACGATTAATAATTAAACGAATAATGATAACTGTAGCACTTTTTTAGTAAATAAAAAGAGTTTTTGTGACATTTAAGCGAGAGAAACACTCAATATATTCTAGTACACACACTTACAGAATTCAGCTGTTGAACCACAGTAATGTATTATAATGCCAAACCTTGTAGGAGCGGGACACTTCAACCTCAGTGGCCTGGCGGAGGATTGTGTCTATTTTTTTTCCTATATAGTTTTCGCCACTTATCAGCTTACTAGCCGTTCCGGCAGTTGGTCTATCCAGTGTTAGTACAGGCGGAAACCGGGGACCGGGAAACCTGTGATGTTTGGTAGTGAGGGTCACACTGGATAACACCCTTCTCATGTGTGTCCAGACTAAGTAGGACTCGAACCTTTAACATAATAGAGAGAGATACGCCCGTTACAGCTGTACCACCAAGGAAGGACAGAATTCCAGCACTTTGAAGAAAAAAATCGATGGAAGATTACAAAGTTAATCTGCTGGGAAAACTATTTTA